AAGGGGGTTTTGAGCCTCCTATCGAACCGCCGGGACCCAACCGCGGCACAATGCATGCATGCTCCAACCTTGCAGAATGCAGAGTGCAGATGGAGCAGGCAGGCCACACGCATCCCGACACGTCCCCCCCAAAGTCTCGAGATTTTAACAGGGAGAGGGGGGAGCGCGACCCAAAATCAACCCCCCAGAAACCCCCCAAAAGCACGGAGGGGGAGACCGACCAGGTGGGGGATTCCCCAAAACCTCAAGGGGACCTCAAGGAAACCACGAGTCGGGCGCAGCCACTTTTTCCGAACCGTGGCTGAGATGGCCCGTCCTTGGGGCAGCTAATGCATGTGGCCTCATGGTCGAGGAGATCAAGCTGCCGTGACGTGGCTCCACTGCCATGCACCGGAAAAACCCACGTGCGCCACCAAAATGGAATAAGAGAGGAAACAGTGGTGAAAACCGAACCCAATAAGGAAGACATTTCCCCCCCCCCCCGGAGACGGGGCCAATGGCACCCAAGTCCCGGGAGGAAGAGATCACACGACTCCCACATCCGACAGGGTTGTGAGACAAAACCTAGCGGCTCCCTCCCTTCAAAACCGCCTCCTTCGCCACCGAGTGGATTGCCGCCAGCCCCGACTTCTCCGGGTTGCTCAGGATGACCGACCACAAGGCCGTGGAGACATCCCCCAGGCCGTTCGAGGAGCTGAAGCGCATGCGGGTGCTCGCGTCGCCCAGGACCAGCCGCTCATCCCTGGGAGGCTCCGTTGGCTCCACCCTCTTGTAGAACTCCATCCGATCGCGGATCCACTGATTGTACAGCTGCTCCGGGGGCTCGTCCATCACCAACTGCAAGCAGGTGGCCTTATCCCTGTGCCACCCCGTGATCTGGAGCAGCCTGGTTTCTTTCGCGGCTCGCCTTCCAAAAGCCCTTGCAAAATCTGCACATATAGCCCCCCGTGGTCTTGAACTTTTCCTTGCTCACCACTTCCCAGGCACTGATGCTTGGCAAGACCAAGCCACACTCCACGGAGCCCCAAAACACATGCTTCGCCTCCTTGGGGAAGTGCTTGTTGACGTACTTTTGGCCCGCGACCGCCGTCACCGTGGCCTTGGTGATGGGCGGGTACCGCCTGGTGCCCTGGTCTGGGGTGCGGAGCGTGGTGTCTGCCCCCCCCAGGACCTTGGCCTTTGGGTCCGCCTCCTTGACCGCTCCCCCCCCGGGGCCAACGGCACCCAAGGGGGGGGAGCAACCCAGCTGCCGGATGAGGTCCTGGGAGTAGCCCAACCTGTCATACAAGGCCCCCGCCGCCTCCTGCGGGACCTGCTCGACCCAGTCGTGGACCACATTGCAGCGCCAATTGACCTTCACCTCCACCATCGACGACTTGCTCAGGCCCGCCACCAACTTGGTGTAGACCGAGTCGAAGGCCTTCAGCAAGGCCAGCGGGAGGGTGATCCGTTCGTCGCAAATTGCCCTGAACCGCAGCGCCTCCTTACTGTCATGGATGGGGGCCACCGGCATCTCCATCACGGGCAACGGGCAGTTCACGATGAAATTCTTTGCCGTCAAGAATGTCCCCATCTCCTTGAAGATGCAGCTCCACTCCTCCTTGCTGTGCGGCTTGGGGATGCCCAGGCTCTCCAGGAAGGGCACCGCCTCCTTCCTCATCTGGATAATGTTGCCCATCCACTTGTCCGAGGTCGAGCCCTCCGCATTGCGGCCCCGGCGTTGCGTCTTCACAATCAACGGGAAGGTGGTCCAGGCCGAGTAGATATACTTACATGTGAACCTGTGGGCGTACACTCCCGTCAGGCTCGGCAGGTCGTCCCACGTTCTCGTCTGTCTGGTCCAAAACACCCCATCACCCCTCGCCCAGAAGATACCAACCACCTGCTCAGGTGCCGGGCGCTCACCCCGGTTCGCATGGGTGAGTCCTGCGCTCAAGGGCCAGGAGCTCCTCCGGCGCGAGCTTAAACTGCTCGTCAGCGCCCCGGGGGATCTCACCGCTTGCGTGCTTCCTCCAAACCCCCCCAAACATCCGGAGCTCTCCCTGGTGCCGCTTCATTGCCCAGAGGATAAGGGACAGCTTGCCGTCCTCAGAGTCCAGGTCCTGCTGGGACATGGGCTGGTCCCCCCCCGGGGCCGGTGGCACCCTTGGGGGGGCCGGTGCCTCCAGCTCGGGCATCTCCTCCAGCAGTGCCTCCTGGTGCCACGGGTTCTGCGACGCTCTGAGCATCTTGATGTAGGGGACATACTTCTCCTTGATGTCCCCCACCGGGGGGATGTCGTCAGCTCCAGGGGGCAGAATAGGCCCCTCTCCAGGGCCTTCCTGAGATCATCCGGCCACGCCGACACTTCCAAGGGCTTGAGAGTGTGGTTGAGCATCCATGCCTGGTTGGTGTCCTGGATTCGCTTGTTTGCCGCCTGGGCCTCCTGAATGGAGCCTCAGCCAATGCCTGGCTGGCGTCAACGCCCTTCCCCTCCAAGTACTGGTCTCTCAGCTTGGCCTTGAAACGCTCCAGGTTGACCTTCCTGAGGGCACGGGCTCCCTCGTTGGCCACCTCATCTGACGGCAGGGCCTGCATGCCCTCCTAGAGGGGCGCCAGCATCGCCATCTCGTTGTCCAGCATCTCCTCAGTGACCAACTCCTTGTGCAGCCGCCTGGCCGAGGCCTCCTCCGCATTCGGCTCCCGCTGCTCCCGCAAGGCCTTATGCGGCTCCTCCTTCTTCCTGATCGCCTGGTCCACCTGGGGATGGTAGAGCTCGAAGCTCTGAGCCTCCGCCTCTTTCAGGGACCGCTGCACTTTGACCCGGATCTCCTGGCTTTCCCGGACCTTCATCGCCTCGTCATCCGCCTCCATGGACAGGATCTCCTGCCGGATGTCCACCCGCATGTTAAGCGGGACCGCATCTGCCATGGTGATCTCATCAGCCGAGTCCGTTTGAGGGGCTCTCCCCAAGACCGTGCCGTCCACCAAGTTGCGGTCGGCCTGTGCCAGGGTACCACCGGGGCCAACGGCACCTAGGCTTCCCCATTCCCGCTGCTGGATCCAGATTGGCTAGGTGATGCCGTCCGCCTCATAGGTGGCCGAGGGTGCCTGGAAGGGGGCGGACTCCTTGCCGGGGCAGACCCAGCACTGCTTGGCTGCCTCTGGCCACCCCGTTCCGCATGCCTTGCACATGAACTTGTAGTCGGAATGACCTGCGTCGAGCCTGTACATGCGCTGGGTGCCGATACACGCCTTGTTCCTCTGGAACTGCGAAGCCCAGACCTCCTCCTGGCGGAGCTGGATCTTCATCGGGACGTACGCCTCCAAGATGCGGATCACCAGGTCCTCCGTGAGGTTCTTCCCAACAAACTTGTAAAACAGGGAGACCGCCTCCTCCACCGTGATGTCTCTCAGCAAGGTGGCCGCCGACGCTGGAAGGACTGGAAACAAGTCCGGGAGGTCCACCAGCTTGAAGTACCCAGGTTTTCCGTCCACCGGCACCAAGGTGACAGGTTTGTTGGCCTGAGACGTAGCCTTCTGAGAAGCCGCCACAAAGCCCTTCAGTCTCTTCGTGGGTGGCGTCTGCGCCTCCTCCGGTGGTGTGGCCCGCTCCGTGCCGTCCGCATCCCCCATGTCCCTGTCGCCCTCCTCGGCGGGGCCAGGGGCACCCAAGCCGGGAGTCGGTGTGGCAAATGCCACTTGGAGACGCTCCAGTGCACTGGAGAGGTCATTCATCACATCGGTCGCCGAAGCTGACGGGGGGGCCTCGGGCTCGTCCAAAACCAAGCCGGCCGCCACTGCCGCCTCCCGTGTGCGAATGTCCTGGGCCTCCTGGCTGGCCATTTCAACCTCCTCCACGGTGAGTGTCTGGTCCTCAATCAACTCAAAGGAAGTTGCCGAGGTTGCCGAGGAAGCCATTGCTTGGTCGGGGTTAAGTTCGAAAATGCAAAAGATCAAAGTTTTTCAATCAGCTTGGGTTCCAGGAACCCAGAGCAATGCTTGAGCCAAAATGGCACATGCCATTATGGTCAAGCATTCCACACACAGTTCATGTTTCCACATGCGTTTCAACATTAACAAAGTCTTGCGGTAGGCCACGAAATGACAAGTGACCTGTAAACGAATGCATATTCCAAACCACTCAGCAAGATAACAACACACTCAACGGCAGCTCAATGAAGTAACTTGGCAATGCCATTCTTGGTTGATGCTGCCAGCTTTGGGCGCCTGTCAGTAATGCCTGGCAGCGGCCTGGCTTGGTCCTAGAACAACTCGAAGTTGAATCCAAAACATATGTGATAGCAAAACATCACCGGGCCCACTTCGTGCCTTGTAAGTGAACAAATCCGCAGTGGCTTACTCGTACAGGCGTTTTGGAGCCTCTTCCCCTGCTTGCTTGGACTGACAAGCTGGCAAATGAATGCAAGTGTTGCGACTCAAACATTTATGTCATGTGAGCAGTCAGCCACCCTGATATCTTCCAAACAACACCCGCCCCTTTCATCAATAGCTCCTGGCCCATGAACTTCCAAAGGGCCTCGGGCAAGAAGCCCGGCAAACGCAAAGGGAGCAACTTCCCATTGAAAGGGGAACAAGTGGAACAAGTTGATGAATAAGTTGATGAGCACCCACATAAATCACATTGAACCAAGCACCTTCACAAATGAAGGACCTTCATGAACTGAACTCCGGGGCGGAGAGACCTGAGCGTCTTACATTGGCAAAGCCAGGGCTTCCTCCCAATGCGGCCAATATCATGTCGCTTGCCTGGTTAAGACGTGTGGCCCAGCTGGTTCATAAGTACTGCCCGCCGAACATCCAACAGGTTGGATTGATACCGTGGATGGACGAAATCCATTTCGCACCACAAAAGAAATTCTGGTTTTTGATTTGATTTTTTTGTAAACACCAAGGAACAATGGGGGTTTCAGCCATGGTTTCCTTGGTGCCATTTCCAGGTTTCGCAACCGTCCACATCACCAGATCGCCGGATCGTCTCATGTCTCACGGCTGCGCGCCTGCAAGTGGCAGCTTGGGCGGAAGAGGGATGTCGGACAGCCTCAGCCGCGCGTCGCTCTGAACTGCGGCCATGTGCTATGAACTCGGGCACCGCACAACACCTAAACACTCCAAGCTTGCCACGTGGACAAGTAGTGTGACTGTTTTGGACCAACCCTCTCAGTTCAAAACCTGTATTTCTGGGCATAGCTTCCCATAGCTTGTGCTGAGAACTGCTGACTACCCTTCAGGCACCTTACTGGCACGAGTGTGCGCCGCGCTTTTCTTAAACCTGCAGCTGTGCCACATTGCTTGCACAGTGGCCACACGCTCGTTCACAACCGCCAGCAGGAAGGCAGTCATCCCTGGGCAGTGTGTCGGAAAGGAGCATCTACTTGCAATGGACGGAATCGTTTTGAGCAGAGCCACCCCACAAGGGGCCTGTGGTTGAACTCAAGCATTCCCAGCATGCCGCATTGCATCTCTGCTTTGCAAAGGGCAACGTCTATTGGTGCACCTGATTGGTCTAGCACTTCCAGTGTTCGTTGAGCTCAGTTTGTTCACTCTACCGGCTGGAACGTACCACCTGGATCCGAATTCGGCAAAGTAGCTACAAGCAGCTTAATTTCATCAGTTCGGGGAGACAAAGATGAGGTGCATCACTAGCAGGTGTACATTCGCACTTATGCCCGGCTGTAGAAGCTCAACTGCAGGGTGGGAACAACTGAACCCAGCAAACAAAATAGCTTTGGCAGGCGTGCCGAATGCCAGGTGCAATGTTGACATAATGAAAAATGGTTCGCTAGATCTATCTTCAACAACAATACGAGAAACATCGCTCTAGATCCCTCGAAACCTTTCAAACCACTTGAAGCTTAACTACCTGTCAATTCCAAGCATGCGCGGCAGAAGGGAGCTCACCAAAGAAGTCAGCACCCTTCCAGAACGAAAGCCGAGCTCTAAATCTACGTGACTTTGGGTCCCTGCCTTCATGAATTGAATCTGAACAATAGCAGCGGATACAAGTGTGTCCCTTATCTCGCAGGGAATGAGGGAATGAACCTGGGAGTCCCAAAGAGACCATAGGGGATGGTTTATGGGGGTCATTCCCTCATTCCCTGGCCAGCACCAGCAAGTGATCACTTGAGTCGCAATCAAAACCTGGTACTAAAATGGTCTACCCAGAACCATGTACAGGATTAAGAAGACGGCCGCAGCTATTTATGGTTGGGATCGTCCCTTACTAACCTTCATCTACCCGGATTTTGATTGTGGCTCACTTGCCCGAGTAGCCGGACTCATCCTCCACGACCTTCTCAAAGTCTGCCTTGTAAAAGATCAACGTCTGCACGGCTTCCGTCTGGCCATTCGCTGCCGCCATGTGCCTGAGCCATTAGCTGCCGCCGATCCTCCCCTCTTGGCCCAAGGGCTTTGACCCTCATATCGCGACTTCCCCCACCGACTGGACCAAATCCGAAAACCCCAAGATCACTTGAGCCCTATTGCCCTCATCTCCTTAATTGAGCCTCCGCCATCAGATGCAAACAATTTCAGGGGGTGTGGGCCCAGGCGCAGGGCGGTGCGTAGATCCACGTTCAGCTCCTCGATGTCTGCGTTGGACGCCAGAAGCACTTGGATCATCGCCCCGTCGTTGTACTGCGCTGCGATGTGCAGCGCTGTCTCCCCCACATAGGTGCGGGACGTGAAGTCGGCACCCAAATAGTAGAGGTTGCCTCACTGGCTCACTGAAGCGGAGAAGCTGGATGTTTCAGCATTGCATCCGGTGTTTTCTGCCAATTTTAAATGCCAACGATGCCTTGTCAAAAAGCCTTCAGTGTCAATCAATTCCTGCGCAGGGCAGGCCTGACATGGTGGTGCATCGATCAACGCCACTGCCGCATCTCTTGCTGCGAATGCAAACTCGCACCAATTTACATTAACCATCTCACTCAATGGCACCATGTGAAAACGAAGCCTTGCTGCTGGCCGAGCTGACGCGAGCTGGCAGGCGCGGTTGCTTGCTGCATCGCTCGAGCTTGGAGTCCATGAAGCAGCATGAACAGCTGTCCGCGCGTTGATATGCTCATGATGTTTCTGAATGCTTGTGGTTGCTACCCTACCAAGCTTTAAGCATCCCAGCACACTTATGTTAGATTTCAAAGGAGGCTGAGAGCACTCCCACCAAGCACGCCGGCATGCCGCTAATTCCCGCAGTACTAGGAATGGGCAGGTGCCTAGGTGCAACTTGCAGGGCGTCTGGCCTCTGAACTCCCAAGCCCAACCGCTCCAAGGCGCACAGGGTCTCGACACTGCCAGACTGGGCGGCCCAATGTACTGGCAGCCATCCGCTCCTTACCGAGACGTGCGGCACACCGGTCATAGGCGTCTTGGTCTGTTCATTTGTTTGGATTCATAAACCTGGCTGGCTTGCACTCAGGGTCATGCTCTGAAGTACATGACCGTTGTAGTTCATACGGTCGATTGTTCTGAGGTTCCCATGATTCGAACTGAACTGAGGGCCACTCCTCCATGCTCAAGATTTCCCAACCGCCAAACACTGTGGCAAGAGCCAGGACAAGATGCTGCGCACTGACGAGCAATCCGCTAATCCGGCAAAAAGCCAGGCCACCTACCCGAACCCAACGCAATGAATGCTCCAAGCCAACTCCAAAGCCTGATTGACCAGCGCAGCTTGTCCCTTCAGCCGTCGTAAAAGCTGGGAGCTCATGTCGGCTGTGAAACAAGTCGCAAAGTTCGTTCATCCCCTCGCTGCCCCTCTGCTGACCAACTCAACCACCAAAGCATCTCACTGAAGAAGCAAAGATATTGCTCAAAGCTCGCCGATATAAAAGGCACCCAAAAGGAAGGGAGCTTCCTAAAAGAAAGTGAAGCCATCAACGAACCCACACCTGCCAAACAAACTCCTTCCCAAAACGCTATCTGGCATGATAAAAGCCAAAGTACGGACTTTGGTTTCCAAGATGGGGAATAAAGCAAAGGCCTCTGCATAGTTCACCCCTGCTCAAGTGGCTCTAGACCAATACCGAACCAGTACACAAAACACTGTCCAAGCTCCTCAACAGCCAAATTATCAAGAACATCCTTCTGTGAAAAGGCCAGCCCGCCGGAAAATTGTCAGGGTAGTGTACATGAGGTATCTCCCTGAATCAGCGCGGCAATGGAAAGACCATGCAACCCATGCACCAGAACCAAGCAAATCAAGATCGAACCAACACCAAGCGCGACGAAATCAATCCCAAACTATACATGAAGCGACGGCTCACCTCCGTCTTGTTCGTCGAGTTTGCTTAGGTTCCCCCCCCCACCCCTGAACCTAACTCTGGGCAAACGTGTGCAATAAATTGTCATGTCGGTGACCAGAAAATCTTGGCCTTGGCTTTGCTACTATACCTAACTTTCGCCCGCTTTCCTCAAGAGGGAAATGGGGAAAGGTCCGCAGCTGAATATGTCGTCTGCACTTTTGTCGGGTCTACTTTTTAACCACAGACATGCAGCAGAAGTCAGCGGAGGACTGGTCTCCCCGCCCTGAAGGCTTCGCTGGAAGCCGAGCTGCTCATCCCGTGCGTCGAGGTCTGCGTTCTTGCTTACGAGGCTCCTTAGCAAGCGGGCGTGTCTCAAACTGTGGCGTGCCCTCTGGTTTTTTTGCAACAAACCAAAAGTCGTTTGAAGGGGTCCCGGGCGTATCTGAACCTGCTAGCACTACTACTGTATGGGTGCAGGGAATGTTGCCAGGTCCTCAGGAAAGCCCAATGGATCTGACCAACTTCTGCCTTATGAACTAACCAAGGAACTGACAAGAGCGCAAGAAGCGCCAAAAGCATTGCCTGACCAACACGAAGCCGCAACGAACTGCCAAAACTGAGGACTGAATGGACCGAAAATGGCAAAAAGGGGAACCAACACTGGAGATGTCCTGAGCTAGCCCCCGATTGACATGCAGCAAGATGGGAGGCCCCGAAAGCCAGTCAAACTGGTTACCGTTTGATCCACGCTTGAGGGACATAGTTGTTCTCGCGGGAGAGAGTGTTGACACGTTCCGGGGGTCCCTGCATTTTCCAAAGGAGTCGTTACCTTACCATGGTCAGATTCGATCTGGGCAGGGCAGCCGAAAACAGACTTTAATATCCGACAATCAACTCCCTGTCGATTTCTGAGCCCAGCTGCCCCGCAAAAACCTTTAGGACCCGCGGACCCCTCAAGGGGTTTGACAATTCCAGTACATGATCAAAATGTCACCCAACTGAATAGGAACTCGATTTAAAGGGGTCGAAATATCGTTGGATCCAATCCAGTTCACACAGCAACCCCTGGCTCCTCCCCCCCCTCACCCACTCACCCCTCCCCCCTGCGAGCGTCGTCACCGCCTCACTGGCGCCGCTCCGCGCCGCCCAGAGGAGCGCAGTACGGCGCGCCTCGTCCCTCACATTGACCCAGGCGCCGATCCTGACGTCCATGTGCGGCTTGGCTGCGTTTCGGCCATCGGATGTTTCCAAAACAAGTCATTGACGTGCCTCTTGCAGAGATGGCCCTGAAAATCTCGGCTTTACTTCACGCGATTCCTGAAGCCCATAGTTCGGCTCCCATTCGCATGAGACCTCACAGCTCTGTCTTCCCCTGTTTGGACCAGTTACCCCCAGAAATCAAACCTGAAGGTTCCCAGGTGCGAGCGTGGCAGTCGAACAGACTTTTTCCCCTCCCAGAAACTCCCGACTGATTTAGGGCCTTCACACAACCTGGTTTTGAGACCCTCAACCACCTCCGGGGTGTCTAATCGAGGGGTCGGGTCGTCCATTGAAAGCCCCCGGAGCCTCTGAGCTACCAAAAAAAAGGAACTCCAAACCGGGGGTCCGAAACGCGACGCAAACGGAGACCCCCCTTCATTGACTCCTTTGTTTTGGGGTTCCACGATAATTCATCTGTCTTAGCTAAGCTTGGTATGGACATGTGCTAGTAGTGGGCAGCTGAAAAGCAGTACGGACGGCCGTGAGGATGATTCGGACGGTGCGACGGATGGGGCGACGGGCAAAGGCAAGGGGGACGACGGTCAGTCGGACGACGGGAGGATGACGGGAGGACGACGGGAGGACGACGGGAGGACGACGGCAGGATGGCGGGAGGACGACGGGAGGACGACGGGCGAAGGACAGGAGGACGACCTTCGCAATGTCGCCCTCGCTTCGTCGCCCCGTCATCCTCCCCACCCGTCGCCGGCCCGTCGTCCTCCCGTCGTTCACCCGTCGTCCACCCGTCGCTCTCTTGGCATACTAGCCCCGTACCACACGTGGCTGTATGACTCGAAGCCACTCATTAATACTCATTACATGTCTACTTGACTTAGGCAAAATCTGTTTTTAAACGGGGACTCCCTTCGTTAAAATGGCCAATTTCCCTTGATTGCTTGGGTTCCATGTTTTTCAAACCTCTGTCAAATGGGGACGCCCTACATGGCGCTGGTTTCCCTTGAGCCTGCGGAAACAGACCGGCCCCCTTTGGGCCCTTAGGGCTCCATGTGGCCATGGGTCAAAACCCAAATCGTACCCCCAGTGAACATCCCAATCCAGCCACCAAAATAGGTTCTAAAATGGGTGGTGACCTACCAACCGAAATGGGATCAACCAAAACGGTTTTGACAACCACAGCGATGTCCAAGGATCTGGAGCTCCGCGTCGATGCTGTCCCAGCGCCCCGCCTGGTGAGGGCCCAAAACTTCATACCCCCCCCCGGCTGATGAAACCCGTTACGTTGAGCTCAAAGGCTTTGGGTTTGAAAAGCAGGCAGTCTTGTCTCGAACGTTATTGAAGATGTCAGAGTCTGAGATTGGTAGGGTCGAACAGGTGTCGCCAAGAAACTTGTAGTTTGCTTGAGGCTGTCGGAGTTTGCCACCACTTGCACTTGGCATTTGCTCGACAATTGCCTGGTGAACAGGTCGATGACGGGTCCAATTGACTTCTTGCCCATTTCCCCGATTGATTTAAGCAAGCAACACTTGGCTATTCCTTTCGGACCTTGACTTGTTACTTCCGGATCAGGGTGCACCCAGCTTTTGCTCTACTCAGGTGGGCAGCTGCTGAACAGCTGATTGCGAATATTTTGCCCAACGCATCTAAGGGTCTTAGTAGAGGTCGATCCATTTAAATCTAACCCACAGGTGTAAGTGGACTACACAGACCGCACTGAAATCAGGCACGGTCCCGTCTGAGACTTGTTGGGTTCCGTGGCACCTTGGCATGCTCCAGCAACCTCTCGTTGCAGCCCACGATCTCTATGACGGAGTCACCCACAGCAAGGTGCTCAGTGCTTAGCATCTGCAGCACCTGGTCAGGTCACACATGTTCCAGGAAAAAGGCGCTCCAACCCACGCACTTTTGCGATTCCTGCTGCTCTCTAATAAACGCAAGGAGCTGTTCCTGCCTGCTCGACCATTGCTCAAAGGAAGTCACATGACAACCCCAAATGACGATATAATGGATAAGGGTGTACTTTTGCACTAGAAAGCTAGCATGGGTGGCACGCCGGGCAGTTGGACGCGACAGCCTAATTCAGTCAGGAAGGTGTTGCCATGGCTAAACCTACGGCACATACCCTTGAAAAATGTGCAGTGCACTTTTTTGTTCTCACATGTAAGTGGACCTGGACCAGTGTATGCATAAACAACTCACACAAATGCAAAGGCACGACACGGCTAGAATTTTCCTGGCAATTTCTCAGGTGACCATTGTTAAATTGGGGCGTTGACATGGGGGTATTGATCTTGAGGAGGGGGTTGTGGGAGGTTAAAAACAAGCGTAATAGAAAAACCGAGAGCATCCCCCCAATGTTTGAGGTTTGTCCACCGAGACCGCCGAGATCGCCTCGCCGCGCTCGTCGATGAGGTTCGGGTTGGCCCCATGCCGGATCACCAGCTGCACCATGTCCAAGGATTGGTGCAGGGCTGCCCACATCCTCAGCGAGACCCCTGCAAAACCGCTTGCTTTTGACGTGGCATGCACGTTCAGTAGCTCAATGGTGAGATTTGGGTCGGCCATCTGCGCCATGTGCCCCCAGCTCTGTGGATCAAGCAGGATTGCGCTCAACCAGAGCCGACACGCCGGTCTCAAGGGCAACCGGCGAACTGCCAAGGCAGACACGCGCGCAACAACACTAATGGTGCTGGTCTCGTTGCTTTACCGCGCTAGGTGGGGGTATCTGCGGCGAACAGCTCTAACACTGCCAAGATCTGCCAAGTTTACAGTGAAACTTCCATGCCAGTTTTTCACACGCCAAATGCAATGATGAGAGCTTGGGCGTTTGTGTGCCGAGCGTTGGCACAAAGACCCAAACGAGTCAACTCCATGGACGCCCCCAGCAGATGAGCGTCAGCGGAGTCCAACCATCCTCGTCCCTCACGTTGAGGTTGGCTCCTTCTTCTATGGCCTTCTTCACACCTCGCAAGGCCGTGATTTCCTTCCTTTGCATGTCTGACCGGCCCTGCCCTGCATCCACAGCAAACCTGAGCATTGCATTCTGAAACCTGATTACTTCTGTCGGATCCTGCTAGAGGGTGTTCGCGCAACTCGTATGTTACCATGCAGAAGCCCTCCAAATGAAGCGACAGGCGTGTTCAAAACTGCGGTCGGGCAGCAAGCGGGCCCCATTCGCGGCAAACCACTTCCATAGAATGCCTATGTTTCATCCGCATGCCACTGAAAATGATGCGGCCAGCGTGTCTGCTGCATAATTTGTCAGAGTGCTGGCCTCTTCTGCTCCAGCCGGAAATTCTCAGAACTCATGAACGCTTGATCTGCACTCGGGAGGCTTGTGCTTCGGCACCTGACTGGGCCTGTTTGCTCATCGACTTCTGCCCTTGAAGCACACAGTGCTGGTGTGTCTGTCGTTCACCCCTCTCAACTGAGCAACCCGCCGACTCCGACCAACGCATTAATTACCGACAAGGAATGTATGAAGTTCTTGCCGAGCCTTTTGCCCACAGTCCAGGCCTTCCAAGTCGTTGTTCCTGGCTGCAGCCTGAAGCTCTTCGTTCACCTAACAGGATTTCCAGCATGTGACTATTGAGTGACCCCAGTGCCCGGCGCCGCTGACTGTCGATCGAATCGAAGTCCAAACTCCTCCACCCACAAGCTTCCATGTGAACAGTTGCGTCCATTGCGCGAAGAATGTCCTGCCTTTGGGTTGATTTGCGACGGCCATCCTTTTGAATTAGCTTGGGATGGGAAATCAACAAAATCGCCCCAACAAACGGTCCACACACAAATGGCTGCTGGCAAACCCTTCAACCTGCCACACCAACAAGGCGCGACTCTGCATTTTTCTCATCCGCAAGGTGCCCGCCTGCTGCACCGCGGCGATCATGCTGCGCATCTCCAGCTGCTCCTGGTGACTTTTGGGAAAGGATCCAGCGCAGTGAGGAGAGTACCACTGGCTGTGGCTCAAAGAACGGTACCCAAAATGGCCCCTTGGTGACTGGAAACAAAGACCAAAACCTGCCTAACCCCGACTCTTTAATTTTGAGCCACGCCCCAATCGCACCTTCGCTGCCCAAACATGGTCAAAGCGAGCCTTGCGATTCCAGAATTCCTAGGGCCATTGGGCCATGACTGTCGGCCCCGCCTGCGCGTGGTCATAGACCGTGAGGCCCGCTTCATCCGTCTGCAGAAGGTTCAAACCGTTGGCCAGAAGCGTCTCTACCTTGGTCGAGTGCTCTTCCGGCCCAACTCGGAGGTTGGCGAGGGAGTGCTCGAGTGCTCGGGTCAAGGGAGTGAACCAAATGAAGCGCAGCCCAGTGAAGCGAGACGGTAAGCGTGTGAATCGCACAATGCAAATGTGTGTAAGTGCAGTAAGTCAGTGTCGTGGTGGATGCGTGGCATGAGCCAGGCAAATGAGGCTGTGGAGGTGGCACTGGTACCTGGACTAGTCGGATAGTGTTCAGTTGCGTCATTGAACCTGCTGTCACAGTGCGCAAGTGCTCAAGTTCGAAGCCCACTTCCAACCTTTCCTATTGGCTTGATTCCCAGTAGAATGAGGGAGGAAAAAGAGGCGCTTCCTGGCTGTGATTAAAACAAGCCTCATGACGAATGAGAAAAGGCAAACGACTTCCATGCAGTCATATACGGTCACACCCGAAACCACCTCATTTGAGGGACAATGGCATGGCGGACTCATACTGGGACTCCCTGAAGGTTCCCAATGACGCTGTCAGAATCAAAGAAAGTGGGCACAGGGACTCAGCCTAAGAAATCAAGCAGCTGCGGTTACGCTTACGACCGGGGAACCCAGCAACTATTTTGTTGCCTCATGTCGTCGCCGCGTGAGCAGCTGCAAACAAGGCGGCTAGCTCCCACTTCATGAGCCAGAGTTGGAAATAAGAAAAAGGGAGTTGAGGCCTCGGCTTGCTGCTCGTGTGATTTGCGCAGCTGAAACCCAAAAAACATTGCAAGCAATAGATCCTCACGCCCGCAGCCTCATCGAACCAAACATGCCGATTTTTGGCGAGACATCTTCTTTCACAGCTCAGAAAAGCTAAACTTTCAGTATGTTGGCAGAGTAGAAGGGTATCTCGAAAATTCCACTGCTCACATAGATGAAACAAATCGCTCATGCATGCATGTGTCAAACTTGGCTGCTCACCGACTTGATGGCCTGTTAATTGATAAAACCAAGCAACCAAACCGTGGGCTCCTTTCACAAGCCTAAGTAATTAATAACAAGGTTCGAACAGGGGCCACTGGATTTCCCGGTCGTCATTGGGCCCTTCCGCCCGTTAATTAATGGGTGGTGTCAGCTGTCACCAGGCTGCCATTGAGAGATGCCCATGACGCGCTGCCCACATGCAGGCGGTACGACCCTCGTTGTCCTTGGAAGGACATGGGGCGGTTTGACCAAGGAATGCGTAAAGTCCACTCGGGTCGCCTTTCAGACAACATGGCCATCATGGAAATGCAAAGGCGATGCCCCGAACAACAACACAATGTATTGGAACCGCATACTGGTGCGGATTCGCTGAAACATCCTACTGAAGCCCTCCAATCACCGCACACCCAGGCATGGGCTGTAAACCTTGGTCGCGTAGATTGGACCCGTCAGCTGGAATTGATTAACCCGCATTGCTTGAGACCTGTTCCATTGGGCAAAGCAGGAAAGTCCAAGTTCAGCCAACATTAGTTCCAGCAGCTCCCCAACATGGTGCACTGAGTACAAATCGTTCTTTTTCAAGCACCCCTTTCCCCCCCTTTCCACGTGATTAAGCCTGTTGACACATGTTGACGCTACATGTTTGAAGCAAGCTTCATGGGGAGTCGATTGACCCACGCACGTGCACGCTCAATACGCTCACCGCCTAGGAGCTGCAGTGAGGTAGTTTGCACTGGCGCTGAGGATTGTGGTGGCCACATCCTCGCAGCCGTTGATGGCGCACCAAATCAACGCGGTCCAGCCGTTGTTGTTGACCTCAGGTGCTTTGGGTGCCAGGCTGACGACCTGCGGATAGGAAGGAGCTACATGGTCCGGAGGGTGACTTTTTTTTGCGGGGGGAGGGGACTCACTACAATTTGCCCACTTGCGCGTTCTGGCACGTCTACATCGCCGCTATCCAAATGTTAGATTCCCCATTGTGCTTGGGACCAAGCGTTGGCTGCACCCAATTTATATCATAAACCAAGTGCGGCATGCGCTGCCAAAGCGACTCGGAACAAGCTCGAGCGGCCAAGTTCAGATTCGCCTTCCTGGCGACCAGGTAGGAGGCTGCGCTCACATTGTTCTGCCGTGCTGCACACATCAGCGGCGTGTTGCCTGACCACTCAAGCCAAGAATGGAAAAACACATTCATCAAGACCTAGCCTGACACGGCACTATGGTCAAAGCAAATTACGTGTTTTCCCGAATGCCGGGAATCATTCTCTGCAAGATCTGACCAGTGTTTTTTTTGGTGGTTCGAGGCCTATACACTACTTGCATGCCTACGCGAAAACCTACGCAAACCTACGCGGCCTGCGAGGGGTGCCTACGCGAGCACAAGTCAGCTTCCAGGTGCCTACGCGAATGCCTACGCGGGCAAATGTTGAGTTCAAGCGTCGAAGTGCACTGTGGCAGCTCCAGCTGGAAAATCGCAACTTTTCAGTACAAGTGCAGTTTTGGCAGCTCCGGCTCTAAAATCAGAATTGCAGTACAAGTGAGAAGCCCGCATCTGTCCAAGGATCTGCTGCCAGAAAATGTCTACGTACCCAAAATGCCTTGAAAGCCTACGCGAATGCCTACCCGGGGCCTACGCGGAGCCTACGCGAAGACTCCAGAACAAACAGAAGGAAGGCAAAAGAAGCAAATTCATTTATACTTGGCAAACAGCACTGAGTCATGATTTGTTCAACAAACGCCTACGCGAAAAGCCTACGCGAGGGGTGACACAACAGCCTACGCGCTGAAGCCTGCGCGAGCCTACGCCCCCAACCGGGATTGCCTCCGCAAAGTACATGCAATTCCCTTTTTCTATAAACCCTTTCATTTGACTAAAAAACGCCGCTCATCTGGCAATCTGCTCAGCACGGCTCAAACACAACTAGCATCCGGACTTGCTAAACAATCCGAATAGCCAAGTGCGTGGCTTGTACTTGACTGAAGCATGCGCTCCCCAACGAACTCATGCCTCGATCTTATATACTCCAGGACGAAAGCAGATGGCACAACTCCCTTTGTGCACGGTTAGGTACAGGGGAGGACCAAACAATGAACAGAAACCGGGGGGATGGTGCGGTTCAGTGCGATCTGCTTCTACCTCTGTCCCACTTGAGCAAAAAGGGCCCTGGCATCTGAGGCTTGTCAGGCCTTCACTGCAGGAAGCATCTAAATGCGCCTTGCCCTCCGCCAAAAGCTTCACCTCAGAGCGCCCGAAGCTTCAACTGTGCGGTTCTGCTCAAATCGTCTCTCTGAACATCTCCGAGCATTCCTCGATTCCAAAAAGAGATCGGATCTGACCGGCAGGGCGCCGATTTGTTTGCAGATAGATTTGGATAGTTTCCCAGGGTGAAATCAGGAATTCAGCAAGTCCTACATCTCACCGCCGAAAGGCACGAGCTTCCACCCAAGCTCATCGACCCAGACTAACCATGTGTCAAAACTATGAACGCCTCCACATGGTTGGCTTCATGTTTGTTCCTTTTATGACATGTTCCCTAAAACATGCCTAGTATTTGTGACGTATGGAGACTCGGCATGTCCAAGCAAAGGTTGACCGGGTTGTTTGGCAGGAAGTTAGGAAACCAACCTGGTTGCCAGCAGCAAGGGAGCCAGCCAAAACAAAACACGAGATCCCAAAAGGGCTGCCTCAGCATGAAAACATCACAGTAAAGAGCTTGGGCGAAAGGGAACAAAACCAAACCCGGCTCGACTAAAGTGGCTCACCCAAAGGCCTGCCGCTGAATTTGTCTCCCTCTCAGAATTTCTCAGCCGGAGCGCCAGGTGGGAGGAGCCCAAGTGTGCCGCGAAGTGCGCAGGGGTCCAACCGAAAGCCTTGTCCCGGATGTTCACCTGTGACCGGCTGTGACTGGCCAAAGCATCTGGGGCACACTGAGAACAGGTTTGTATGGGCCTGACACAGTCATGAGGGGGATCCATCCTGTGTGCATTCTCCCTTGCCTTGCAGTTGCAAGATTTCCTATCAGCACCATCAGGAGCGAGAGGATCCTACAGAGCCCCACTAGCATCACCCACTTCGGGCGTTGATTGTTCTGTCAGCAGCGACAAAACCCAGCATAGTGCTGCGTGTCAATGAATGCAGCCAGCGCAAACTCGCCCCAACAAGACTTAAAGCAAAACCCTTGGTATTGAACAAAGACCGAACTGGGGCCAAGAGAGATGCCGCAGCTCCAAGACAAGCCAAACCTGGCAACTTCTCTAGAGCATGGTTGGCAACCTGTATCACCCTTCAACTGCTGCAAACAAACGCACTTGCCTGGCAGCAAAGCACATGGACATACGCAACGACTCCTCAAGGACAAACCCAACTCCAAGCTCAAGTCAAGGCCGTGGGTGCAATTTTGTGAACTGGCCCGTGCTCAGCCGCATGACCCAAACAACGTGCCCCTATGCCTGAACTGGCCTCCCTGTCGCTGGCCCTGAGGGCGCTGCAGGCCGTACACAAGGAATTCAAAACAAACGGTCCTCCCCGTCGTGTCGCACTGCAATTCTCATGACCAAACACCCGATGTGCTGATCTACATAACTTGTTGTGCGCCGAGACCGCACAACAACCCCCCCCCCACCCCTTATCGAAGGGGTATGTGTACGCCTTTGTCACACTGGCAGCACATCCGTGGGTCCTGCCTCTCGCTGGCCCTCGGAATGGGAAAGCCAGTCTGCGACAGCTTTGGTCTTTCGCTCCTACGGGAAGCACATCTTGCCAGCTCGCAAAGCAACGGGGAGCGCCTTTCTTCCCTTCCTGCATGAAGAGACAGCAGCATGCTGCAAAACCAAATGTCGTGGGTCTCTGTGCACACGGTTGCAAACGTAATACGCAAGTACAGGCCTCAAAAAACAATCTCTCTATATATATATATAAGATTTGCTGAGTAGTTTACTAGCCTCATCCGATCCTAATGCAAAACCATGCCCACCTTCAATGCAGTGAATTGATGATGGCACACCGAATAAAAAATATTGGACCTTTTCCCCATGCCAAAGTTCCGCAACAACCGCGATGGTCAGAATGACGTGTACGCATCCCTCTGCAAGGAACAGGCGGGTTGGGTTGCCGTTCGCGCAGCTGCAGGTTCCTACCAGCAGCGCGGTTCATGTTCCGACCACACGCCCGCAAATGCCAATGGCTGCGAAACATGCAGGCATTGAACACACATGCCACTCCTCTCCCCTCATGGGCGGCTTTGGACGCGGCATGTGTGCAAATTGAAACAACGCATGTCTTAAAATCCGTTACAAGCCCTGAATTCTGGGAACCCCCCCCTCCGCCCCCGCTTTTTCCCACTTTTGGCGCGAGCCCGGTTCACTGCAAGGAGCCCCGAAGCGCACCCAGTTTCGTCTCCTGCAGAAGGTACCACAGCCTGGTGGACTCAGCACTCGGCTTCTCGGTCTTCTCTCCTCGGGCCGTGATTTGCTGCGGCTTAGGACTCGGATTTTTCCACTCGAACATCACCCCTGAAGAAAGCTGGCAAGCATGGGTGTCCAGTCACTGACTCAGCTTACAACCTTGAAAGGACCTGAACATTCCTAAGAGTCTTACTAAGTAATTGCCAGTGGAATGGAAACCTGATCTGCAACATATCGAAACACCCACCTTAAAGCAACGGATGGCTGACGTGCTTAAACCTGCATTGGAGCCACACCCAACAGCATTTGTCCTTCTTCCGTCTTGTTGCTCGACCGCCTGAGCTTCCTAGAAAGGAATGACAGGCTGACAACCGTTAACGAGCATTCTCAAAAAAAAACCGCTTCAGCATAATAAATGGAGTCTGCATGTTGGCTCAAACTACAGTGGCCGATTGCCACAGAGGGGGGTGCAAGACCTCCCCTTTGAGCAAAATGCACAGACATGCTGAAATCAAAAACGCATATTAAAGAGTGCAGGCGCAGCGGACAAGGCGCTGCCTGAAAAGTGAATCAGCCATGCTGCAAACTGCGCAACTGCCAAGACTTGACAATCATGAAAGAAACAAATGCGTCCAGCAAAGGGCCGGACTCAACTGATGCAAACAGAGATCGTCAAGAACCCCTGGACTGCACTCGATCGCTCCTTGTTTTATTCTGGCTGTGTGTGTGTTAGCGAGATCTGGGGAAAAGTTCAAAATCTGCATCTCGGGGCCCTTGGGTGGCACACACAGGAGAGGACGGTTTCTCTCACTGCGCCACGGGCGATGCAGCGACACGGATTTCCCCCCTATACATGAGGGTAGGGGCGGGCGGGTTGAACTATTCGGGTGTTCCGAAAGATGGACCTCCCGCCCACCCGCCTCTAGGCTTGAGAGGGAGGACAAACACGGACAATCGCATAAGCAACGCAGGTTGCACAGTCAAAGCTAGACATGCCAGGCTATGGTTGACTGTGTGGGCATGTTGCAAGCGTGTTCTTTGCTAAAATAGCACCGGCGGTTGCGCTTTCAAAAGAAAGCCTACGCTCAAAGACAGTTTTGTCTGTTTCCCAGAAATAAACCGTCTTGTTGCTCGACCGCCTGAGCTTCCTAGAAAGGAATGACAGGCTGACAACCGTTAACGAGCATTCTCAAAAAAAAACGCTTCAGCATAATAAATGGAGTCTGCATGTTGGCTCAAACTACAGTGGCCGATTGCCACAGAGGGGGGTGCAAGACCTCCCTTTTGAGCAAAATGCACAGACATGCTGAAATCAAAAACGCATATTAAAGAGTGCAGGCGCAGCGGACAAGGCGCTGCCTGAAAAGTGAATCAGCCATGCTGCAAACTGCGCAACTGCCAAGACTTGACAATCCTTGACAATCATGAAAGAAACAAATGCGTCCAGCAAAGGGCCGGACTCAACTGATGCAAACAGAGATCGTCAAGAACCCCTGGACTGCACTCGATCGCTCCTTGTTTTATTCTGGCTGTGTGTGTGTTAGCGAGATCTGGGGAAAAGTTCAAAATCTGCATCTCGGGGCCCTTGGGTGGCACACACAGGAGAGGACGGTTTCTCTCACTGCGCCACGGGCGATGCAGCGACACGGATTTCCCCTTATCTGAAGTCGCTTTGGTGCACAGCTTCGACAGGAGATTCGGAGTGAGTCTCACTTGAGGTGATAAATTTCATGGGCGGTAGCATGAGTCGTTCCATGGCTTCAATAGGCATCTCCAAGTCACCTTCAAATCTTCCTCCAATAAGTGCAGCAGCTTCCGAGCCCGCTCCCCTGGAGGGCAAGTCAGCAATGTTGCTTTCTGATGCCACTCGCTCTATCCACATGATAGAGTGATCTGCTTCGCCCGCGAGGTGAAACTCTTGCGAGAGGGTCAACATAGACCATGAATTGCTGGTACCTCGGATGAGGCTGAACCTAGATGGTTGGTTGTCTACAAATAGAATCGCGCGTCTTCGAAAAAGCACGCTTCGAAAGTGGATCCTTGCAAGCACAGCCGCGAAAGATTCGGCCTGGCAAATGACCTGAGCACCTGCCACGTCGGTCCAGAATTTGACCAGGGGTGCAGGGATGGTGCCAGCGTTGACTGCTCTGACACCCGAAGCTGGGTCAATGACGACCGAGCCCCAAGTGGCCACGCCGCCTTCATAAGCCGCATCAGTGAAGATCAGAACAGGAATCTGAGGCAACCTGAGGTCAATTACTCGTGGCGCCAGCAACTTCAGCTGACTTATGGTCCACTTGCAAAGTTGCGTCAAGTCTGCTGGCGAAAGCGGCTGCCGCCCCGAGGCCATTTCAGCAAACATTCGGCAGGCCACTTTCATGGTACTTCCCAGGCTAAGACCTATGGCGTAGCTCAGAAGGCCCTGGATCACCTGAGCGTCCCGCTTGGTCAGCGCCCCCTGCAGCTGCATGCTTTCTACTTGTTGGCAAATTCGCTCAATACGGCCGTCCTTGTTCGAGAGCACAATCAGCCCGCTGCTCAAGTCAGATAGGTTCACGTGAGCCCCAAGAACATTGAAAGCCGGGGAAAAATCTCTGCCCTTCTCCTCGTCTTTAGCAAAGAGCCAGCCGAGCGCTTTCAGGAGGGCCTCCACAGCAGAGGTGCAAGACGCGGACAACTGCTCTGTTTCCAATAGCGGAAAATCGTCAAAGAACACAGACCCTGTTATCGCCAGGACATTTACCATGAGATAATGCAGGGAGCGAGACAGTCGGGTAAATGCATACACCGAAGAGCAGGCTCCAAATGGGATGGATCTCGATATAAAAAACCTGGGGTTCTTGTTTTTCGGATCCCTTACTGCGAGGACCGCGTACTTCAGATCCCTCTGCGAAATCGGAACCTGTCGGTATGCCTTGGCCAGGTCGAGACACCTGCCCTTCCAGTTGGGGGATCCAGCATACTCCCTCGAAAGCGTTCCCTGCAGCAATTCTCCCCCTTGAAGACGAACACAAACTGATCTTTCGCTCACCGCGCCGCCAGCAAGAGAAGTCAAGGCCATGAGAAAATCAAAATCTTGAAGGATCAGCTTGTCCACACATGCCTTGCAGTCGTCTATCACTCTGGGTTTCTGAGCCTCGCCCTGAAGCAGCAAGAATCTCTTGTTGATCAGGAAATCTCCAGTTCCCAGAGCGTCCACCAACTCTTGCTCGCTGCAAAAGGGCCCACGGAGGTATCCTTTGGAAACTTCAAGCATCGTCTGTTCCCAAAGGATATCTCTCTTCCGATGGTCTTCATCCCAAGGAAGTGTAGCCAGGGTGCGCTTGTTCCTCCAAACAGCAGACTTCGAAAGCAATGCCGGCGTCGTCTTTGCTGGAATAAAGCCCTCCGGAAAAAGTGTGGATTTCGTAGGAGTGCCAACCAGGTCGACGCCCTTCATCAAATCGATAACCTTGCAGTCTGGGAAGTTGGTCTCAGACAAAAGCAGTTGCCAAAGAAGGAGGTTTTTTCCTTTCACCACCTCTTGGACATGGCCCGGCAAAGTGGCTTGAAATCTGGCCTCCTCCGCCCTGAGCTCTTGCTGCAGCTTTTTAATCCTGAGAATAGCTTGGAGACGCACTTTCGCAACATGCAAGGGCCCTTTCACAAGTTTGTCAAACAGGGCCACACGAAGGGAATCCGGCACAGGGTTCCTAGTTGCCGCTGGGTGTTGTTCCACCTCAAGAGCTTTCTTGAGGAACTCCTCCTTGGTGTGAAAAAGTCCATACTTGACTCCGTTGCCGTCTACATCAACTGGCTGATGCCGAAATTCCTGGGGTTCTTCAGGGCTCCCGCTTTGCACCCCCAGATTCTGAGCCCTGAGATGTTTGAATGCGACAGAAGGAGGGGGCTTCTTCTCAACGATGCACTTGAATTCGGGTATGAGTTGCGGCTGCTGACGATGCTGTCTGCCCACTGCGTTGAGAGACGCAATGCGAGGTTCTGGCAGACGGCTTCGTATTATGCCTTCAGGCAGCCCACAATGAGCCCACAGCAGCTTTGCATATCTGGAGCATAAAAGGTCCGGATACTCTGCTTCAGCAGCAGTGTCGAAGTGCCACGAACTGCTGGCATAGTACACTGTGTAAGGCAAGTGTTCATGATTTCCAGGACAGCTGGCCGCAAGGGCAGAGAACACCTTTGGTGTGCTCAACAGCCTGGTGTCCTTTGGCCGTTGGCCTCCATGAACGCAGTTGCTGAATTCCACGTGCTCCAAGGCATTGAACCATCTGGAAAAAGCACGGTCTTGTTTCTGTAAAACCAAGTGTGCGAGGACGGTCCATAGCCATGAACGTGCAGGGTTCTCGATTGTTATGACGGTATCAGTCATGTAAAGAAAGTAGAGAACATCCACTGCAAAACTGTACAACTGATTTGCTTGCTCGACCTTAGTCTGATCATGCTGGGGCAGGTTTGGGAAGCCCAGAGGATGCGCTGCACTGCGCAGCGGGCGCGGCGCGGGCGCCCCCATGGATTTCGCCTTCTTGCTGAGAGGTTTTTCCCTGGCTCTGCTGGCAGTCCCACAGGGTAAAACGAAAAGAAGGCTTGTGCCTGTTTGCCGCGTGATCCACTGCAATGCAATCGAAACCTGCTTTGTGAACCGCGCGAGACAATTTGGCACAACCGGCGCAAACTTCAATAAACAGCGGCATGTCTGCGCGAGCTGCGGAGACATCATGACCAGGCAAGGTGTTCGTAGTCAAAGGGGGTGGTTGCGAAGGGAAAACGTTGGGATTGGGCAGCGTTTGCGATGACCCCCAGCCGCTTTCAGAGTCCGTTCTTGGTCTCTTCATTTGCGGCGTCGGCTCATCAAGCATACCTTGATCAAGTCAGTCAGAGCGGGAGTGGGTGCACTCCCCATAGATCTTTGGCGAGAAGCAACCATCCTTCCAACAAAGATGCCATCCCCTGTCACATCGCTTCCCCGCTGGCGCTCGCTTGCACAAACCCCTGTTCCAGTTGAAACACAAAGGGCGTCCATCAGGGGTCTTCCGGACGCAATCCTCAGGAAT